TGCCGAAAGTCCTCCATCAACTAAACTGAGACAGGGGCCTTGCGCGTAATGCCTCCCTCTATCCTTTTATGGTCTGTCCCTCTTCCATAACCAATCGCCAGGACCAGTATCAGCATGGTTGACGGTTACCTGCAAGACTGTCGTGCGACTCATTTCCACGCATCGGTTAACAAAATCGTTATTCTAGGTCCTCAAGCACACTTTGACTTGAAAATGTGGGTTTTTTCTACCAGTGTTCACACTTAAGTATTGAAAAGACTGTTTTTTATCGTGCTTCTCACATAGGCCGCGTTAGGCTTCCTGGATGAGGACCCCGGGGTCATTGTAACCGGTGGTTGGAGACTGAATAATGTGATGTGGTGTCATAAATCATCATCATCGTACAGTGAAATACAGGGAATCGAATTTCACTGATCGCTGCCAAACTCGCAATGCATACGCACTGGGGTTTGATGGGTGAGTACTGCTAGGGTGTCCAGCCACTAAGCAGGAAACCAATTAGGGGTCTCAACCAAAGCCTTTAGTTCTGACAGGAACTGAACCCTAAGGCAGCGAGTGAAGCAAAGTGGAGGCCTGTTCACTTATATCTATTACTCATCCATCATTTTTACCGACTGAAACGCAAATTCTAGTCGAATCCCCTACCTGGAAGACCAGGAGACTGAACTTCATTCGACCTCTACCCTTCGACCTTCCAGGCATGATTATATCTCCTCGTTTGACAAAAGCTATGCTGTGTGGCTCTTTGGGTCAGCCATCACACCACGTCAAGGTACGGTCTCATCGTGATGTAAATTCTCTATCTGGTTTGACTCTGCTCGCAACATTCCATTCTTCCTTCCGCTCCTTTATCCAACTGGGCAGCCATCAGACAGCCACCAAGACCGGTGCACAACGGGGCATGATTAATGGTTGTGAAACTGAACTGAACAGAACTTTATCTTGCTCACTTGAATATGGAATATTTTCGAGGATACCTTGACTAGCAGGTACCTGAGAACAATTATTGACGGTGCGGGTATGACATGGTATTTGACTGTGCTTTTCACTGAGCAATAAACACTATAAAAATCCTTTACCTCGTCTTTTTCACTACGCCAGACTTCGATCTGACTACTGGATAGAAATACAAGCTGTCTCATTCCCATATTCTTCATTCACTTATGGTTCGCTTAAATAATTTCTTGTTTTCACTTGTTTCACAGGTGGATGCATTCCGGTTTGAAGCCAGAACATGCAGAGTAAGTCAGACCTTATAGATAATTACTCCTTTCTTAGAATCATTACAAACTGCCTGACAACTCTCCTTCCCCGTGCACTTTCTGTGCTTACCACTCACAAATGGGTTTGTTTTTATCACTAATCAAAACCGGGATTTCAGAACTTAACGCCGCATCATTGCGCTGTCTTAACATCACTATTGGCCGCTCTAATGGACGCGAAATGTTTTTTGAAGTCAGTGCATAGTATAGCAAAATAAACCACTTTGTCCTATCTATTTTAGAAAACCATTGAGTGATGCAGATGCGATGTTTTGCGAATTCGTCCTGCAACGAAACCCGGTCTTTTTGATTGACGTGCTTGTTCAAATGACTGCTTTAGATCATCACCAAACGTTTGTACTGGCTATTTTCCGGTATTGATTTTCCTTGTTAATTTTGAGACGTTTTGTTTAGGCGAATACTAAATTTGAGTGCGCAATATTTTACCCATCCCCAGCAAGCTATCAGGCTTTTGGTATTTGCCAAGTGGTGCTCAACGTGCGAATTCTTACCAAAGCTTCAAACTGTGGTAAGTTAATTAGATATTTGTCAATCTTCCTGAAGCCTCTGTTAAGGAGTCACATCGATTCCGCTGCTGTAATAGCTTGGATCAAGCAACAACAGCCTAACTTGTGTGAGGCCATTAGAGGGGAGTGTGATCCGGCAGAGGTTGTACAATCGGTGTACGAAGGTTGTGGCATCGAACAACTGGCAAATCTTTTGAGCTTATCTGACCAGGTAATCGACACGTTGCGGTTGTTAATGTTACACGTTCCACTTGAAACGTGCTGAATTATAGACTCCGGATTTAAAACCGCAAAATACATCGTCTAACAGTGTTTCCTCAAAACAATACAATCGGTTCAATGGTAAGGCACATGGTATGCCGAATATATCCACAAGTAAGTTCCTTCTATCATATTGTTATAAACACTAGATCGCACAGTTACAAAAGCATCTGGCGGTGGTTTCCCAAAGATGTCCACTAGATCTGTATCAGGGAGTTCGTTGGAGTCCGATACAATCTCATCGCCAAATCACCGCTCAACCAATTCAGCCACAACATATCCCAACAGAAAAATAAGAGATTCGGAAAATGGTAAAATGATCTGTTTGTTACAGAATCAACCATTTGTTTCAGTTTTATATTTCAAAGAAAACGTTTCTGTTGATAGCACAGGACCGTTACTTTCTCCACTGTCTCAGAGAACACCAAAGCGCCAAAGGTTGAACAACAGTACAGATTCAGAATCAAGTCCAAAGAAAAATCACAGGCAATCACAATCAAATTTAAGTGCTTCCGTCAGCGCCTTCATGATAGCTGGAAAGCGTACTGAATCCAATCAGATGTTTAAAATTAACACGGATGGCACACACTACAACTCCGGTTTGGTGGACTCGACACAGCTCCTATCGACTGTAGCTGTAGATCCTCAACCGCATTCACTTTCCTCTATTNCATAATTCAACGGAATCACTAGTTCGGGACAAAGTTGATGGCCGTATGGACACAGGTAGTTCTGTTCACAATTGATGACCTTATTTCAAGGCGTATCTGATGCTATCGTATTGGATGAGAGTCCCTCAGAATCGCCACATGAGGCTTTAGGTTCATCCAGTACGAGTAAGTCATTATTTTCCTTTATAATGACCCTTTTTTAGCACCAACTAAATGCATGCAGATCAACCTATCGAACATTGAATCGACACAGGATAGTATGGCGCACAGTGTGACTCACATTTCATTCAGTGGGTCTCCGATCGACATTGTTTCTGTCGTGGAGCTAAACCACGGTCCCGAAATTCTCGTGCCACCTGATAATGAGTTGACAGCCCGACCAGTCCTTGTAAAAACGTTTGTTGATGGAAGCCATCGATTTGGGTCACCTTCAAAATCCGGGACCATTGCAAACAGGGAATCACACAGTTCTCCAATGAGCGGTTCTTCCAAAAAATTATCCCATTGTCGTAGTCCATTGAATATTGCTGCCGCACTCACGGAAATACAAAGTTGCGGAGACACATGTGACCTCAAAAACTGTCATAGTGTCCCATACCACCGAGATGTACCTGTCCCCGGCACCCCTCCCTCCGTTTCGTCAGAGCCAATGGTGGGAGTATCACTTGATGCAACACATTGTAGCTCTGACATATCGCTTACTTTTGAACATGTTTCCCAAACTCCTGATCAGAAAATACTAGCAGTGGAAACATCGATGTCAGATGAGTTGACTCCTGAAGTGATCGAACAGTTAAAATTCGGACCGATTGATCGTTCAGCTGCATCAACAGAATCAAAGACCACAGCTGCCGGGAATTTGTCACCAAGTTTAACAAATAAGAATAGCGTAAATCCTCCTTTTTCCGAAAATGAAGATTCAAAGCAGCATCATGGAAGTGTCGAAAAACTCGGCCTTCCTACGGAGTTGCATTCTTCTCACGCACGCGCGAAGTGTAATAGTCCAAATATCCGATCTCCCCAGTTGTCCTGCAAACTAAAGACAACATCGATATTCCCTGACATGACTTCCCCAGGTTCCGACGAACTATCGCCCACAATGGATTCAAACGCCAAACGGTGTCACACTCCCGCAGCGGGTGATGGGTTAAACGATGCCATCTTGGTTTTCCCGACCATCAATGACACTTCCGGATCGGCCACGCCAATCAAGTGCGGTAGAAGCTCATCTAACATGAATTCCCCTAAAATTTCACAGTCGGTGCGAGTAACCAAGGTGTCTTTAGTTAATTCAGCAACATCAGATACCACAACTAGCTCTCCGTTGTTGAATTCCCCTCCCGTGGCACACAACTTGTCGATAGAAAACTCGTCTACAGATAAAAGTAGCAAAGCATCGATTTCAAATGAGACGTGCACAGCTTCTGAGACTCCAAGCAGCTCTACGAAGCGAAACAGCAGGTCCATTGCATCCAACGAATCGCAGCAAATGAGTTCACTCAGTGGTCGAAATGCGACTCCCACAAGTGTACAGAAAAACACTAACCGCTCAGGTAAATGGATACACTTGAAATCTATGGGATTGCTTTCAGATTCCTCGAAGAAGAACTCGACACCTCAACCATCCACAAGCAGATCTCTTCCAGGGTCAACACGAGAATCAACACCGAGCACAAGACGATCTTCTCGATTGAGAAGCTCTTTGGAAGAGGCGAAAGGTTTGTTAGTTTTGTTGCCTCTTTCTCACTCTACATAATCTAGACGTTATTTCTAGTCAGATGAATGAGATTGACATTGATGGCAAACACGATACATCCGGTCTAGTTGACGCGACACAGCTCCTATCGACTGTAGCTGTAGATCCTCAACCACATCCACTTTCCTCTATTCATAATTCAACGGAATCACTAGTTCGGGACAAAGTTGATGGCCGTATGGACACAGGTAGTTCTGTTCACAATTGATGACCTTATTTCAAGGCGTATCTGATGCTATCGTATTGGATGAGAGTCCCTCAGAATCGCCACATGAGGCTTTAGGTTCATCCAGTACGAGTAAGTCATTATTTTCCTTTATAATGACCCTTTTTTAGCACCATCTAAACATTCAGACAGTGAGGGCTCAACAAAAAGCATGCAAATCAACCTATCGAACATTGAATCGACACAGGATAGTATGGCGCACAGTGTGACTCACATTTCATCCAGTGGGTCTTCGTTCGACATTGTTTCTGTCGTGGAGCTAAACCACGGTCCCGAAATTCTCGTGCCACCTGATAGTGAGTTGACAGCACGACCAGTCCTTGTAAAAACGTTTGTTGATGGAAGCCATCGATTTGGGTCACCTTCAAAATCCGGGACCAATGCAGACAGGAAGTCGCATACTTCTCCAGTGAGTGGATTGCCCAAAAAATCGCTTCAATGTCGTAGTCCAGTGAATTCACTGAATTCGCTTAATAAACGTCTAGTTCTTGGGAGCGGTCTAGAAGTACAAAGTCCTCGCAGAGTTTTACGTTCTTCGGCAAATGAGAAGAACAGTGATTCATCGGGCGTATCTCCCAGTTTGCTGGACGATGTAGGATTTCAGTGTCTAACCTCTAACAGGACGACTTCCTCTGTCTGTGGTGAACCATCCTCTGCACTAACTTCATCCCCGAGCCATTGTCGTATTTTGTTTTCCAATCACAATGTCAGTTCTCGTTTTTCGGCACCAACCGAGCGCGGAGGAAACTCACCTGATGACAAATCTCCTTATGATTTGCGGTCAAAGCGTGCGAGAAGGGTATCTTCGCTCAATTCAGCGATGCAGGATACAACAATTAGTTCTCCAGCGTTAAATTCCCCTCCCGTGGCACACAACTTGTCGATAGAAAACTCGTCTACAGATAAAAGTAGCAAAGCATCGATTTCAAATGAGACGTGCACAGCTTCTGAGACTCCAAGCAGCTCTACGAAGCGAAACAGCAGGTCCATTGCATCCAACGAATCGCAGCAAATGAGTTCACTCAGTGGTCGAAATGCGACTCCCACAAGTGTACAGAAAAACACTAACCGCTCAGGTAAATGGATACACTTGAAATCTATGGGATTGCTTTCAGATTCCTCGAAGAAGAACTCGACACCTCAACCATCCACAAGCAGATCTCTTCCGGGGTCAACACCGAGCACAAGACGATCTTCTCGATTGAGAAGCTCTTTGGAAAAGGAAAAGGGTATGTCTTGTCTTGCTTGATAATTTTGGACATTTCTCAGAAATCAGCGCCATTGATGCAAGTACGCCATGTATCAGTCCCCCTAAATCCCTCCTTCCGAGTCCACCTGGTTCGTTGTGCAAGAGCCTCGTGAATAATTCAGTTGATCAAGCTTGTGAGAAGCGACCTACGCGCTCCTCTGCACGTACCGGCGATCAAGATAATAATAAAAATATAATAGATGAATCAATCAGACCTTCCTCATCCACAAGAAAGATTCTGCCAGGGCTTGCATTGACTCCTAATTCGCCGCTTCGTACTCGCTTAGCTTTCGTTTCTTCAGGTAGATATCCATTTTGATTATCTAAATTCGATATCCTGGCTAGGTACCGAGGTCTTGCACGAATCTCTGAAGACCGCGCATCATACTGATTCAATGAAATCGACCACCAAAACAGAACTATCCGCACAACGAACAGTCACGTGTCCTGCAGACGAAATACATGAAGTAATCTGCTTTTCCGGTGTTTATCCTTTCAACTTTTTCGTTAGATTTTGCCTGTCCGTGAGCCGTATTCGCTTCGTGAGCGTCGCATCCGAAAACAAAACGATTAGATACCGGTTGCTTATAACAGATTATCTTTTGAAATATATATACATAATCCGTTTTTATCCGAACCGCATTTTTTCCTGTACTGTTTCGTTTCACGAGCTTATTAATACCAAAAGGTGATATAATCTGGTGCCTGTGAAAAACCGAATAGGCTAATCCAAACATTCACCATCTAAATTGATTGAGCCATTTGCACAAGGTGAAAACCGTCGACCGTGTAGCTCAAGGGCAACGGTTTGGAGTCCCAGATCGAAGAATTGCAGTTGGAGTCCTGACAGGGGCACGGAAAGTGCGCACTGCTGACAAATCCCAAACAGGAGGAAGCAGCTGTCCAGTGCTCTTTGTTGGTTATCACAAACCATTCCATCGCGTTTCAATCATATACTCTAATTTTCAATCCTTCAGCAAATCTAACATGGTAGAAGCAAGTCTAGTGTTAAATAAATAACCACCTTTCACGGTGGTAGCACACTAATTAGCTTCCACAGCACGTGTGTTGATAGTTAGTTGCATACAACCGAACCACCAAAATTCACACCAGTATATTGACGAATTGCTTATTTTTATTAGAAAGTGTTTCGCGGTGAAACGGATCGGTTCGTACATGTACTTGGGTTTTAAAGGGAATATTCAAGCTAAAACAAGCTCATTGATCCCGAAAGCCTCAGTATAGTCGGGGTGGGTGTGTAGGGTTGTCGCTGTTCACCCTTCCCTTGCACCTCGCGAAAGGTTCCCATACAACCAAGCGTCTCTGCTGCTGAAGCCCTACTCACTGCCTTCCCGTGGAGCAGGTTTTGCCACCAGTGAGAAGATGAAAAGCCGACACCCGGGTTGGTGAACCATTGGCAGTTCACCTAGGGGAGTTGGCTAAAAACCCTAATTTCAAACCAACCATGAGGAGGCGTACGAACCACATATACACCTTTCTGGTTGCGGCAGTGGTCACCGGCTCGATTAGGAATTGAGGTGTATTGGGCACCTTGGATGTGTGATCTCGTCCAAAGGTCGCATGATCCGGCCCCAAATGGACTACGGACTCTGAGCTCCGTCCTGTTGTCTTGTAGAGCTGGCTTTCTAGCCAAAGGCTTCGTGTGGGGACCCCGAGGTTTTCCTCGTCCAGCGCAACCGGGAAGTGACATGCCCACACAACCTATGGACAGATTTTTTTGTTCATATGTTGAGGCACGTTTGTCAGTTCTCTGTAATTGGTTACGTGTTGAAATATATAAAATCAAAGTTAGGGATGTTGAAAGGTGGAGTGTTCTACAGTTGTGCTGTTCTGTAAAAAAGATAACTGGAGGATAGAAATGCGACGCCTAGGGAGAGTCACGCGAAGTGGGCGACTTGCTGCTTGTGTACGAGTCCTACGAGGAGAAACGGAACTGGCAGGCTTTGAAAAAATACCCCAAAATATTATCGGTAAAATAAGGCCAAGGAAGCGCCTGCTCGATGGTGAGTTATCGAGCGCACATTAGGGATGGTTTGTTGATGGGGTTAATACTTTTGCGTTGACTTGTGTTTCAAACACGTTTGAACAATCCTTTGGCGTATCCAGCTTTGCTGTATATAGGTTTCTCTGTGGCTGATCATGTAAGCGAAACGAGTGCCAGAGGATCAGTGGGACCAAAAAGCGTACTAACAGTCACTAAGCATTCTGTTCTGCTCCAGTCGATGGCAGTTTTGATGAGGGATGGCGTGTTTCATAGCCTTTGAGACGGCCGTTATTAGTGTCTGAATCACTGTCTCTGAATATCACAGTTGTTTTCGAAATCATCGTCATTGTGCAGCGAGGTGCATTGAAGCAAACTTCACTGATCGCTGTTAAGCTAGCAACGTACGCAAATTAAGTGATAAAGTACAAGATGGAGAGGGATTGGGCCTAACTGGAGGGAAGAGAAAGTAAACCGCTATGGTCAACACAGTACGCAACCTCATTGTGTATACATACAGTTTCAGGCATTCTGGCCTGATAAGAAATGACAACAAGAACGCCACTGCTGTTGGTCATTCACCATATCTTCCAGTGTCACCAACCCACTAGTTGCAGAGGCTTTCGGACACTGACCTGGAAGGTGTGAGACACCTACTCTACCCAATCACTGTGCATTTCTTCACACCTCGTCATTTGTTGACCTACACGTGGTTTCCTCTAACCTGGAGCAGTTACAGCGAGTAAAGCGCCGTGCAGCAGACGGGCATACGCAGTGCTTATCACAAAAAGCAAAGCCTACTGATTTGAATGCGATGTGTTTGCGAATCATTATCAAACACTCGGCTTAGCTGGCATCATCAAACCCGCGCTAAATTGAGTAAACTTCTAGACGAATGTCTTCCACGAGCAAATTTAGAGTCTCTTCACCATAAAACAAAACTGACTGTACAGTGGCGCAGTATACGCCACCTTTTAATTTCAAGAAATTATCACGTCGGCACCAAGGTGTTTCAGTCCTGCGTATGCAGCTTGTCTTGGAAATGTGAGCGGTTACTTCCTTGATTATGCTACCGTCATTTGTCACGTAACTATCTAAGTAGGAGAATCTACTGTAACTTCCTGACGAACAATCCTTACAGCCGAGGTAGATGNCACGTCGCATTTTGAAGGTGCAAAACGCATGCCAAATGAAGTTACAGAGATCGAAAGTCGGCCAAGAGAGCTTTGTGCATTCCTCATACATTCAAACAGACAAACAATATCGCCAGCGTTCCCTAATCGGTACAACTTTTCTCTAACTGCCCACTTAAGGTCAACATCTTTGAGACCACTGAGTGCGTTGTCTAGTATTTCGTCTACGACGAAAATGACTTATAATGGCGAAATAGTGTTCCATTGAAGAACACCATTACTGGTTTCAAACGTTTTGCTCTTTTTTATCATAAAAATTTGTGATGAACAGCACACGGGATGGACCACATAGCCCCAAAGACCTGTGCTGTTCAGTAATAGAAACCGGTAAGCCCCGGGACTTGTAGCGAAACCACGATGCCGCACTAGGTTCGGCGTTGTAATGAACCGGAAGCTTCCTACTAACAAAGTTGGGTGGCGGTTGAACGNGCCGATGAAAACGACTAAACCACTGCCCACCATAGACGTTTACGCTACCAAAAGTATGTAGGTACAGTGATCTTACTAGGTTTGCACACTCTCGCGACATTCCTTTGCAAAGCAGCAAACCGGTTGGGGCTTCACAGTCAACTGAATTGAAAGCTCCATGTAGATCAATTATCACTGCGATTGTTGTTGTTTATCGTAATTCGAGGACCCGATACAGAGTAAAGATTTTGTCGACGCAACCGCGACCTGGTTGGAGCCCTGCTTGCTGTTCGCGAATATTCATCTCCCTTAAGGGTGTTAGACGATGATGCATCACTGGTGATTGGAAATAAACCTGGGGTCTGGAATGCCAGATTCTGTGCACAGAGAATAAGTGAGGTAAAACGAAGCCAGTTCTGGAGAGCACAGTATGAGAATGTACTGAAGAACCCTATTGAGTCTGGGTGGCTTGTGTGAGCCTAGAGATAATAGGGCTTATCGTATCTTTAGGATGGAAATGAGCTGCGTTAGAAGATGGTCTGCTGTATGGTTGGTTAGGTGAATTGAGCGGCAAACACATCGGTTTTTAAGCGGATCCCACACTAAATCACCAAATGAGTTAACAAGGTATGGGAAGTTGGTGGAACAAAAATTATAATATATATATTATAAGATGAGATATGACCGGAACGTCCGGCTCACAGAAGGAGAGTTCGATAGTTGTCACTTTATACTCGACAAATTGCTGTTTATCTCTGTGGACAGTAGCCGTGCATTTTTTCACGCTTGTATTACATGTCAACGGGAGCGTGGAATAGCAAGCGACGCTCAAGACGGATTGTTGGTTTTTTATTGACTGTAAAACAATTCCCATATTAAAATCTTACCAGGGTAAATAAGTATACCGGGCTTAAAGAAATGTAAAATCAATAAGTGCCGAGGTGCAGACATCGGAGAAACAATGGGGGTGAGAAGACGCAACGCAGGAGAGCCATTTCGCGAGGGTTTGTGTAAAACTGAGCGGAGCGAAACGGGTGAATAGAGTAGGAAGTGAAATAAGACAGTGATCCGGTGTTGCATTTCATTTGGTGCTAAAAGTATTACGGATTTACAAGCATTAGGTTCGGTGATAAATTGCCGTGGACTAAACAGTGGTGGAACTCTGGTACTTTTGCAAAATAATTTTCGATTGAACGTGAGGACGACATTAGGAGTACGGTCGGAGAAGTTCATCAGTTGATTTAGGTTCTTCAGTAGGGTAAATTACTCTGCCCCGCGCCCAAGGGGTGACATCCGTGCAGGTACGGAAAATTACGATCTGGATTTCGCAGTGTTTTCAACGCTTGTCGATAGAATATCAACAAACAAGGAACGATGTGCAGTGCAGAATGAAATAGGGGTTGGAAGTTTTGGTCACGAGCTGAACTCGCAGTTGGTGAGATCTACGTGGATGAATGCGGTGGAAGCACTAAAATGGTGGATCAATGCAAATCAGCGGAGGTTTGAAGAGAATAACTGTTAAAATGAAATTGGGTGGTGTCTGTAGTAGAAGAAAGTTGAGGTTCGGATAAGAATAGAGCAAGAGGGGAGGTAGACAGGAGAAATCGATGTCGCGGTTTAGACCGTCAATTTTATTGAGTGCGATTTCCCATTTCTCACTGCAGGAGTGACTGTGCCAATCCACTTGACTGTCGATGGAAACACAACATCCGACCAGTAGATAACTTCCCATCTCAAGACTGGCTTTGGAGTAACAGCAAGAATTTCCCCAAAACAGATAAGTACAATTCAGTAATATTTCACTCCGGAATCACTTTACTGCATCTCAGTTTGTATTTACGGATGAAAAGGAAATAGAAGTGATGTCCAATCGTTTGCATCTTTTCGGTATCAATTTGCAGTCCGTTCTCTATATTGGGTGGTTTGTTGAATAAAGCCTGGGTACCCGGTCTTCTGCTCAATCATAATCGA